TCATTAAATGCTTCTTTATTTTGCATTTAGTAGAATTAGTACATCAGTGACCTCCAAAGGGGGGAAAAAAAGCATGTAACAGCTGCTAAGAAACATATTCTCATTTTCAATTCTTTAGATGTGACTCTAAGCATTATTTACAGAATGACAGCAGAAATGGACAGGGCAAACTCTAAACTATATATGCACAGATCTCCATGTCAAACTGCTTTGCTTCTCTTTATAGCTGGAAAAATAGAATTACCCATGTTGCTTCTTTCTGTGTCTTATGCTTCAAGTTCTTAGAGTCAACTTTCCTGATCAAAATCCAATTATAGACAAAGGTGCCTTTCAAAACAATTTGTTACAGCTGAATGGAATTGCCAAAAGTAAGGTTAGAAAACTATCGGCACAAGCATGCTTTAGCGGCTTTAGATTCAAATTGTATTTAGATCCTTTTTCAGCTCTTCAAATGATCTATAAGTATAAAGACATTGACTTCTCAGATTTAGAAAGTTTTAATCCCTGTTTTTGGCATTGTTCATAATCACTACAGCTAGAAAGTCTGCTTTGGAATTCTTAAGTCATGGAAATCTAAAAAGAAAACCATGCATTCATTATTGGTGGCTGTCTGGAAATTATTTAAGTAAAGTTAAATGAAAAGAAAAGTGCAATGTGTTCTAAAATTGTAACAGGAGTGCTGGCAGTAGCAGTATTTTTACTTGAAAAGAATGAGCATCTTTCTAGAAGAAATGTAAATGGAACAATCTGGTAGAAATTGTACATTGAAAATGATGGGTGGGGAGCTTTGGATTCATAGAGAAAAATATGATTCAGAGCACACATAGCCATTAAGATATTTTCAGAAATACCTTAAATCAAACATTTCTTTATTTATATCTCACCTTTATTATTTTTATAAATAACTCAAGGCAGTGAAAATACCTAATTAACTCTTTTTCCTCCTATTTTCCCCACAACAATCTATGAGGTGAATTGCACTAAGAGAGAGTGCCTGCCATAAAGACACCCAGTGGCTTGCATCCCTAAAATAGGACTAGAACTCACAGTCTCCCGGTTTCAAGGCCAACACTTTAACTACACTGGTTATCCAGGGATCAGTCGCCTGCTGTAGAAAGTAGCCACACAAACCCCAGGGAAATAAACAATTGCATTAAGGTGTCCCTGAGAAGTATCTTTATGTGCAACCACATATATTCTAAACTACATTTTATAGCTACCTTTATAGCTACTTCTGTGAATAACCTTATTAAGCAAATATATTAAATATGTCTAAGGCTTGACACATGGTAAACAGTATCAAGATTGGGACTGCAGATTATATGTATTTTTCCCCCTTTGAGTTGAAGTTCTGTGTCCTCCCAATTTCTAGGAGCTGACCTTAATTTCAATTTTCTGTGTATATGTAATTTTTTTAAAAAGTAAATTTGGGTTCAGTAATGAAAGGTTTTTTTTCCCCATGGGTAGGATAAAAAGAACCATTTAAACTTGTTAAACAGCCAACTGAGAAGAGCTAAATTATTGCAGAGAAAAGCTTTAATTAGAAAAAGGGATGTCTTTCAGGAGGCTACAATTGCAACTTTTGATTGTTGAACTATACACATTATTAATACACACACACACACACACACAAACACACACAAGAAACCTGTATATTACAGTACATGTGTTTAACATTTTACTATTAATTTTTCACTAATGGTAAATCCAAAAATGATACTCAGGAGTGATGTGAAAGCAGTTCAGTGGATGAATACAATAATTCTGCATTGTTTTCTTAGTAGAAGCCTGGGTTGGGCCTTTCCATTTGCATAAGCCTGAAACTGGCTTATATAATTGTTCACCCTGTTTTTTCAGTCCTGCTAAGGAATGTTCAGCAAAAAATGAAATCTCATCTTTAAAACCAGTTAGGCTATCCCCAACTGTTTGCAGCTAATAAGACTTCATTTCCATATACTTCCAAAAATCCTTTTTGCTTCACAGTCCAAAAAAACCTTATATTGTTGAATCCTTCAAATAAAATTTACACCATCTTTTAAGGAGAGGAAAATTCATCGGAGGAATGCAGTAGAACTGTTCCAGTCTAAGTGTCTTAATCTCTCCAAGATGCAAATAATAAAATAACCCAAAAATGTAGCTAAGATATAAGGCTTAGTCAAGCGTAGTGTTTGTAAAGGCTGCTTTCGAAGTTGGAGCTTGGAAAATGTAAATCTTTACTCTCAGCCACTCCAATTATAAACCATCTGTAAAAATGACAGTGTCCATGGACTACTCATAAGAAGAGGCTGTCTGGAGTTACTTAAGTATCAATAATTTCCCCTTTATTCTGGAGAGGTTACACTGAGTCAGTGTAATCTGCTGGATCCAGCATCCAGATCAGTAGTGGGTTTCAAAATCCGGTGCTACCGGTTTGCTATCAGTAGCGTGGGGGCACACACTCACTTTGTGAGTACACAGTGCTTCTGTGCTTGCACAGAAGCTTCTGCACATGCACAGATCATTTTTGATGATGTTGGGTGGGTGGAGCATCCCGCCACCGCCACTACTGGTTCACCTGAACCGGAGTGAACCGGGAGCAACCCACCACTGATCCAGATCCAGCATCCAGCAGTGATTCTGCTCCCAACGCTGTCTTGCTAGCTAACAAAACCCAGCAAGGCATCCACTCACCATGGAACGTACAGGAAGTAATGTTAAAATCAAGATTTCGTTGTGGGAATAAAGATTGATATTAGGTAACAAAGGATGAGTGTTATACCAACATCAGGGAGGATGCTTTGGAATCTCCCATTTCTTGTACACCTAGGAAGCTTCTTTTTTAGAGATACATACATCAGGTATTGTCTTCAAGAAGAAATCTTATTGAAAACCTGTGTTCCATCTTTCAAAAGTTTAGCTCCTGTTGTAATTTTACATGATTCTGTGATAATAATCTCGTATAGCAGAGGTGGGCAACTATGGCCCTTTTGTGACTTGTGGACTTCAATTCCCAGAATTCCTGAGCTAACATGGCTGGCTCAGGAATTCTGGGAGTTGAAGTCCACAAGTCATAAAAGAGCCATATTTGCCCACCCCTGTCGTATAGCAATGGGATTGGCTTAAATTCCTACATCACTGGATCCTGTGGCGATAATAACTGATTCAGAATAGCTTGTGTTATATAACATACAGTATATTATTACACTTAGGACTATTCCTACAGTAGTTCAATGACAATTGTGATGTTAATTGTACTTTTGAAACATGTAAGTAATAACAGAATTGTGGCTTTTCAGCTGTGGAAGTGGAGAAATAGAAGTTCAACCCTTCCTTCCTGCTGTGATCATGACAGATATCCTACAAAATATTCTCTTTGGACAAAGACAGGTGCTTTTAGTGGGAAGGACATTTTGGTGGGGACATATTTGTCCATACAGTTGCCATTTCTGTACTAAAAATGTTCATTTGTACAAGTAATGCATGGACCCCTAAAATTTTGATGCCGTTTATATATGTCTGTTGCAATAAGAGTTGACAATTGCAGGCAGTTGCAGTCTGTAACAAGTTATCTATCCAACTCATAATATAGTATATTGTAATCATTATATTTAAAATGTTCACTTCTATTGATAGGCAATTTTTTGCTTATCTTCAGTCAGCTTAATTATTATAGATGTGAGAATACTGACATATATTAGGTTATTCTTTGTTCTTTTCAAACAACTTCTCCAATTCTTAAAATGGGAATTCTTTCTCATATCAGCACATTGAACCTGACTTAACAGAGATTGAGCAATGTTAACTTATAAAAGCAGGGAAGTTTGTTTCATAATATCACACCACTTTCTATTAGATACAGTTATGCTGTTTGTCTTAAACACCAGACATTAGGAGGACGAATTCCTAAAAAGAATATATGCTTTAATTATTGTTAATCTAAACTTTCTTGACATGGATACTTTAAAAGATGTGTATGTTTTATATCAAATATTATGCACACAATTCAATGCATTCAAAAAGGACCTCCAGTTATGATGTTTGAAACGTCTAATGGATTTAAAAGAGCAGGCATGCTGAAGTGAAATGAAGTGAAGTGAAGACCATAAGAGGCAGGGAAAATACACAGACACACACACACACACAAACATATATTCAAGACAATATGTATTCACAGTCACCCAGAGCTACAGAATAGAGTCATACTTCGCTGAAAATACATTATCTCCAGACAAATAGCTAAAACAATTTAAGTGGTTTGCCACCTTGCTGAACCTTTCCCCTAGCTGCCCTGGAGGTCTACTGGACCGACAGTCAACTGTCATGCAAAAGGTTTCAGTTACAGTGGAGCGATTAATCTCAGGCTATCTCTGCAGCTTCAGCCCATGAGCAATGAGGAGAGGACGCCTGGGCTGTCTGAGTGAAAAGGGAGGGATATATAGCGGCCCTTAATTGCTCACCCTGAAGGGCATTTATCATCCTGGAGGAACTTGCCATCTGTCCTTGTTAACATTTGTTTCCTGAAACAGTTAGCAAATTCAAAAGTGTCAAAAGATAAAGGAGATAGAGATCAACACTTAGTGGAATTAACAATTAATTCAAGAATTCTTATTGGATCAGTGACTTGACCCAGAATTTAATAGTGCTGATTTGAGGTCAGGAGCATGGGATGGGGTAGAGAGCTAATTCCAAAGAGCATCTATTTTTTTTATTTTTGTTAATTGTAATATCCTTTTTTCTATTCTGAGGGTAACTCACAAATGCATTTATTTTATTTTTTTTAGAAAAGTGACATGATTTGAGGGCTGTGGTTTCTTCTATAGCTCCAAGCAACTTGAAAGTAATTGATGTGTCTGCTGTTGCCAGTGCTGTGGCAGATTTTACTTTTATTCCAGTTGTTTTCATCTCTTTTCCTTTAGGTGTAAATTTTGTTTTAAATCAAGGGGAAAAGTAGAGAGTCTCAAAGAGCATAAGGAGCTGTAATCCTAAATCTTATTGTAATACTTCTCTTTCTATTCCTACAGATTAAAGATCGGATATAACTTAAAAGAAGCAGCATTCTAATCACTACATATTGGACGTGGGTCTCCTTTGACATCAGAAACTGAAAATGAGGTTGCCATGGGAACTGCTCGTACTGCAATCGTTCATGTTGTGCCTTGCAGGTAATGTGTCATTTTTAAAACTTTTTTTTCCCCTCGTTTATTTCTGATTTTTAAATGCCACTGTAATATTACACATTCATTCCAAAGGCCACTGTGCTTCGTATGTGAATGATACAGCAGCAACAATAGCTGTCTTTCTGGCCTGCATTTAACTAAAATGGTTGAATGCATTCCACAACGCTTTTAACTTCTTTTTATTACTGCTAGTATTTTCCATGCTTAGGTTCAAGGTGCTTCAAAGTTCAACCATTCTATTCGGTTTTGTGTGGTGTGTGTAAATTTAGAGTGGTTTGTTGACAGCAACTATTCTTTCTCTCTCCCATGCTAAACACTCCAACTATAAGAAAGCACTTTTTAAAGATACTAGAGTTTGACTGATTTTTATTACATCTGATTGTGAATAGTACAACTACAAAGTGAATAATAAAATACAGAAATGGAATCCCTGATCCTTGTTTTCTGTTAATTTGGAGACTTTGGTATTTTTCTCTCTCTTAGCCTTCATCTCCCTTTTTGTATAAAGCTTCCCTGTATTTGCATGCGTTTGATGGACACAGGGATTTATTAAAATTTTAATATACGGTGTGCAGTTTTTACATAATGAGGGGTGAGATTCATATGGTGGTCAGAAATGTTGATCCTTTAAGCTGCACTGGGTTTTTAAAATTCACAAAAGCAAATCAAAACAATTTTTTGAGGGGGAAAAAGACTGAGCTAATTGTGACAGGTACCTGCAGCAAACCAGGATTTCATTAAAAAGACATTACAGAGTGACAATGCAAGCTCCATCTCATATATATTTGCACAGAATATTGATAAAAAGAGCATAACTGACCACTATTTTGCCACAAACACACACACACACACACACACACACACACACACACAAACCCTCAATTCCCTGCTGAAATTACATACTGCACTATTATAAGAGGAAAACTGTATTAGTTTATAGTGGTCAGAATGTGGCAGCATGCAATAGTTTATGGTATGAAAGTTTCAAGTTACATATGTGCTACAGGTAGTCCTAAACTTATGACCACAATTGAACCCAAAATTTATGTTGCTAAGTGGGAATCTGGTTTCCCCATTGACTTTGCTTCTTAGAAATTCACAAAAGAGGATCACATGACCCCAGGACTCTGACAAGTCTCAGTTGTTAAGCTTCCAAATGCCAATCATGTGACCATCCAGCATGGGGATGCTGCAACGGTCATAAGTGTGAAAAATGGTCATAAGTCACTTTTTTCATTGCCGTTGTAACTTCGAACTTCGTTGTAACAGTGCCATTGTTGCCAACAGTGCCAACAGTGCCAACTAAGTGGACTGTTGTAAGTCTATGAGATTGTCTACTCAACCCAGCTGAGCAAAAGTTTCCTCACGACCAATATTGGATCAGCAATTGCGTTTTCCAAGATACTTCATCGATCACATCAACTTTCTTCAAGAAGTCATATTTCTCTTTTACAGCAAGCAAGCAAGCCAGTAACAATATTTGACTGGAAAGATCACCCAAAAAGTTGATGTTTGCCATAAAAAGCAAAGTTTTAAAAACTGAAGCTCTGCCAAACAGTCCTTTATAACTTACAAGTGGTTGGTTCATTGCTTATTTATCTGTAGGGCTAAGGTAGTTTACAGGTTGTAAAGAGTTGGGTTCAAACTTGTGTTAAGCACACACAAAAAAGTACATTGTGTTTTTTTTTTTACTTGATACTTAGCATGTGGGAAGGCTAGGTAACCACAGCAAATTGTTTATGAAGCTCAGGAAGCGATAGCTGGTTTTTTGTAATGTCCAATGTGAGGCCCATCTGAGCAGTAATGACATAGGTTTGTAAGAAGAGATTAGACAACCATTGCTTGAACAGGTTGAAACTTCCACAATCTCTTCCAACTCTGTTATTATGTTCTGTTCTGAACTGGTTTTGTGCTTTTTCTCTTTCCTATTGCACTTAACAGTGCCTTTTCACATGAGCAAATTTTTAAATACTGTATATTTTTCCTACCTTTTAAGCTACATTAAAAATATTTTGTTAAATGCACATATGTAAATGAAAAATATAGTAACTTCATTAGTCCAGTAAAGTTAACTGTCAACTTGAATTTAAAGATAACCCCCCTCCCCTTAATCACAAGTTGCTGCTTAGTGTTTATATTAGTGGAACCAACATTTCTTCAGTGTAGTTTTTAAAAAGAAAGATTCTGCTGTTTTCCATTCTGTCCACATAATATGTGATGGGGTTGTGCTAAGAAGTATTAAATTTTTTGCTTGACAGCAGTTCAAGTAGATAATTTGTTTAAAATATGTCTTACAGCACAGAAAAGTTATGGTGATACTAACATTACAGTTAATTTCTTAAATTTCATGTCTCACCCTTCTGCATATATACACTAAGTAATTGTGTGATTAAATTTATATTCTTACAAAGTCTGAGAATTTTTAACTATCTTTTCATTCCAGGATAAATGATTGAATGAATGATAGCATGGCAATTTTTTTCTACATGGATTTTACTGTCTCATATTTTAGAAGCATAAGGAAAATTTAAATAACCAACTATCTTTCCAAGAGAAACAATTTCAAATTCCAGTTTTTATTAATTTTTAAATAATTGCAGAAACTTTACAAAAATTTCATGATTTTACACAACTTTTTTGCATGTTACATATCTTAAATCCTAACTTTATGGCTTGTTGAATTATCTTTTTATATATAAACAGCAAACCTTTATTCCCTTTTTGTGGACATTCTTATCATAGTTAGTATACTGTAAATTTAAAACTTAACTAAAAATTATAAAAGATTTCCAGAGGTCTATTTGCTAATGTCTTTCAATTACCAAGCACTTGAACATGAAAAATGCTTATGTCTCTGAATAAATGCTCTGTCTTTTTCCTTCTAATTAGAATATTAATATAAGTTTCTATGTCCTAACAATACTTAATGCATGAATTATTCCCTTGAGTGTATATTGAGAGGATATTTATCCAAGGCCATAGATCATTGCTGGTTAGTAGCCTCCTATTTCAGTGTTAAGTATTTCCAGACAGGAATTGTCTTCCATTCTCCCTGGAATCCGACATGCAATGCAACAAACTCTGTCACAAAGAGGTGACAGGGCAGGACAGATACAGCATGGAAGAAGCATTATACAAACCGAGAGAACTATGACAGCTGCAGCTATAATGAATGTTCTGTGATTGGTTTCAAGTTCAGGCAGGTGAGATGGGAAGCTGTTCAGGGTGAGTTGTTAAAAGGATAGATTTAAGCTCAGGCACTGAAGGAAGAAGAGGAATGTTAGATTACTAAGGCAGGTGGCATATGAATGAGCTGAGGGATTTGCTTCTGGTTTCACTCTCTTTCAAAACCAGCAAATGGGAGAAGACTTTAATTATGCATCTGAAATAGGTTGGATCCTTTTGCTCCTTTTTTGTGTGTGTCAAGTACAACATTAAATGAATGCAAGCTTTAAAAAATGCAATAATCAAAACTAGGTTTTTTTTCCCCCCACTGTGAAGTACATTATTACTTAAATTTGTTCCTGTGGTGGAGAAATGTAAAAATAAAGGCATATCCAACGGGCACTATAAAATTCTAACCACCAGCTTGTCCATTTTTAAACAATGGTTTTAATTCCACTATTTGACCAAGCTCTGTTTAAAACTAGAAATGAATTATAAAACAATGCACTCAGTATTTCAAACAGCAATAAAGTTAAGACTGTGAGACCTAGCTTTAATTGCTTGCACTTTCCCCAAAAGAAGAAATGTTATTAAGGAGCCAAAGTGACTAGATTTAGAAGCAAAGGAAAGGTGTCTTGCAAAGTTCAAATTAGCCAGTTTTAGTATTTGATAATAAAAATATTTTTATTAGTATGGTTTTTTAATTTATTTTTTCCACATGAAAGTGTGTGTGTCATACTGTGTGTCATATTCTGGGAAACGTGTCACTGATAGTTATGATTTAAAACAAAGTAGGGCAACTCTTTCTTTCGTCAAAGACCAAATTCTATTTAAAGTAACCTAATAGGTCCTGTGTTAAAAAAAAATGCATGAAGGCACTTGTTATTTTTCTTACATTTGTTTTTTTTTCCACCTTCCCTTTTCCTTTCTTTCTTTCTTTCTTTCTTTTTTTCTTTCTCATTCTCTTACTGACATTCTCTTTCATGTAGCAAGCTACAGGAAAAAGGAAAAAACTGTTATCAAAGTCTCAATTGATCTCTTCATCTTTTTTCATAGCCAGAGTGCTACATACAATTCCATAAACAGTTATTTAAAGTTTCAGATTTCTCACCCTTTTTCCTGCCTTTTAAACAGCATGGGTTGGACTTGTTTTTCTTCAGAGCCACTCCAGTATAAGGAAGTGTTCTGGGCTATGCAGAGCTTCAGATTCAATCTTCAAAAGGCACTTTAGCATATCTAGCAGCAAAACACCTGTCTACAGTGTCCTAGGATAGTGTAGTTCTTCTTTTACATAGCTGCTTTAAAGGGTTGCAAACAGATGCTTACCTTTTCATTCCTGTATGTTCTTGAAGAATCTTTGGGAGATCACATCTCAAACAATGCACACTACTTGTTTTAAATTAAATGGGGGAAATGTGGGCTCATAATCCTTTATTTTATGGTTACTAGTGCTATCTTTTATGCTCTCCTGCCGGTGGTTTCTAGATCAGATTAGCAGCAATCAGAATGGCTTATACATTCTCTTGAGGTCTCATAGCAGAGAGATACAAGCAGTGGTGGGATTCAGCCAGTTTGCACCACTTCGGGAAAACCGGTTGTTAACTTTCTGAGCAGTTTGGTGAACTGGTTGTTGGAAGAAATCATTAGGGCAGAGAACCGGTTGTTAAATTATTTGAATCCCACCCCTGGATACAAGAGTCATGTTATATGCCCCCCAAATACAGGGTTTTACAGGACTTGGAGAATGAGAAATTTCTCCTTTATCCAGGGGTGGGTTTCAGCAGGTTCTGACCAGTTCTGGAGAACCGGTAACGGAAATT